ATGTATAAGAGAATGATAGAAAAGTAAGAACTGGTGATACTTGTCACACAGATCTTCTGCATGGGCTAGAGAACATGATGTCAGCTTTTTGTCACCATTCCCTGGATGCAGGAAGGCAGAATGTATTTTTTACTGAGTTAATCTTTGGCCACTGCTTGCAAATCTTTTCTTATTGAGGTTCAGATGCTCCAAACAGTCTTGATCTGGCTCAGATGAGCTTCCTTGGCTAAGCCAGGTTCTAATGACTCAGACGGCATGAAAATAAACCCTAGAAAACACAGAAGGTGAACTAGGAACAGCAGACATCTTGCACTGTCGCCTCAGACATTGCTGAAGACACTGACACACTAAAGTTACCTTGGCTCATTTAACCCTGTAGTGATGTATTTCAGCTTTCAAACAACATTGAACTGAAGCATATTGTCCTTGTCCCCTTTATTCATCCATGTGTGCATTATTGGCCACAAGTGTCAGAAAATTACTTTTGCCTGGTAACTGATTTGGGGGTGTCTTTTCTCCCTTATCAATTGCCACAGTACACTTCAAAGCGCTCTTCAACAAACAATGTGTGGCGGAGGTGCCACACATTGTCTCATAAATTTTTAGTTCTTGGCCCATTCTGAGGGGTCACCCAGGAGTCCTGCACCTCTCCCCACTGCTCTGATCTTCCTCTCTGCAGGTGTCCCAGGAAAGAGGAATGAGATGTACTATGAATGCTGTAAAGAACCATACCCAGATGTGACGTACACCATCACCATGCGCCGACGCACCCTCTACTATGGCTTGAACTTACTTATTCCCTGCGTTCTCATATCTGGCTTGGCACTGCTTGTTTTCCTTTTGCCAGCTGATTCAGGGGAGAAGATTTCTTTAGGTAAGTGCTAAAGAATTAATTTCTTTTGTAAGCACTTCCTATAAAATGGAAAATAAATATCTCATGGCACTTGATAAATAAAGATTTCCCTGGAGGAGCAATAGAAGCACTTGTTTGGTTGCAGAAGCCAGGGTAACAGCTTTCTGTATGGCATTCACATAACCTGTGCTAAATACTTCTCAAATCTTTTGGATTTTACCCTGGGATGAGGTAGAACTTGTTGCTGGCACAGGCAGCAGTGAGAGTACTCTGTCATCCCTGTTGTTCTGTTCTTTAGTATGTCTCAATGCATTTCACAGCTGATTAACTCTGTTTTTCAGATAGGACTTACTAAGACATAGAGAGTGAAGGGCTGTAGGCAGCAGCAGCTGGGCATTGGATTTTCACCTTCCAAGTTCAGCTCCCAAACCACCAAGCCATGAGTCCCCCCCGAACGCAAAGCAGTAACAGCCAAGGAAGGGCTAAATGAGGTTTACCATTTTGTGTGTCAATAGAGACAGGAAGGGTGTTTCCAAGAGAAGACAGGGGAGAGTTGGAAATACACAAGGCTGGCCCAGATGAGACCCTAAGAGTTAATTGTGCACCATTCCAAACAGGATAGAGACCTTTAAATCATATGAAGTGCCCTCAGTGTTAGTAGAACAATCAGGAATCTGAGCAGCCTGTCTTACAAGAAGTAAAACACAGGCTATGGGGGATACAAATGCTGTCTATGAAAGATAGGATGGAGACAAGGAAAAGCGTTATTTAAGCTGAAGTACGATGTTAACACAAAAATAGGAGATAATGCTCCTGTATCAACCTTATGATTTCTCAGTACCAGGGCAGTTAGGTTTAGCAACAGTCTTTCCAGATAGAACAAAGAGATTCTTAAAAACAGACTACAGCTCTTTACGGGGTGTTATATAATATGCAATAACCAAAAACTAGACTCATGTCTGTGCAAATCTCTCCTAGCACTTAATAACCATCTGGGCTTTGTTTGCGCTATGTTTTGGAAAAGCAATGTAGTTTACCAGTTCTGCAAGCTTCATTTCACTCGGCAGGAAAGATTTCTCCATTAATTTAAGAGGAGCAAAGGTTTGGGTGTAATTGAGAAAAGTGAAAAGACAGCAGATAAAGTTGCATCTGAAAATACTCTCCCGTTGTGGAAGTTCTCATCTGCACTGACAGACATGAAGTCATGGGTTTGGCTTAGCCATAGATTAGGACAAGGTTATATTTAACAGCAAAGACATCAGAGGAGCAGCTGCAGAGTTCATGCTCCTTATCCTTCCCCTCCATGTTCACTCCCTGCAGGTATCACTGTCCTGCTTTCCCTGACTGTATTCATGCTGCTTGTGGCTGAGATCATGCCTGCAACTTCTGACTCAGTCCCACTAATAGGTAAGTTGATTTTCTCTGCTCTGTGCACAATATATGATGATTCTCAAGAGTTGTCCAAAGCCTATTTGAGAACTGACTCTTTTTGTTACTATAGTTTTGCATTTCAGTAATGTCAGGAATAAATCTCTGTCTGGGCTTTACTGTTTGCATGTATGAAAAGAACCTACATGAGGGATACAAAAAGGCTCTGGAAATATCAGTTATCTGGTAACTGCAAGGACTGAGGGGACACAAAACCAACACACGGCATGGAGGTTTGGGTAGGCAAAGCACAAAGCCAACACCACCAGTGCACAGGCATGAGTGGGAGACTGGGATAGACAGAGCCCTGGCTCTAGATTCATTGAACCTGTCCATAAAGTCCCTTCAACAGCACTTTGGATGAAGCTGTGTGCACAGAGAGCTTTTGAAGATCTCGGTGTTGCTGGCTGGAGAAAATTCATGTTTTATTCTTCCGCATCACCCACCCTCCCTGCTGTTATGCATCTGTTCCCTGCCTGCCACCTTCTACTCTTCTCTCTACCCCAAGAGCAACACAGGATACTACAGTCAAAATTCAGATATATCACTGGAGCATTTTTAACATGTGCTGAAAACTATGGGACAGATTATCATGGTGGGAACATGGGCCAGACAGGCATTGTTACATCCTCTCTTCTCACAGGACCATCCCTTTACCTTGATCTCATGGGCCCTCAGTTTCTCAACTGTAAACTGGAGAAAACATTATTCCCTGACCTTATAGCAGGGTAGAGAAAATAAATCTGTTCTGGTTTACAAAATAAAGAAGTATGAACACCACAGGAAAACTCAGAACCTGTTTAATTACCATCTCCTGAGCTAAGGTCTATCTTTGCATACAAGTCATGACTGACGTACACATTCCAGACAGTAGAAACAAACAAAATATTCAACGATATATTTAGGTGCTGATGGAAGGTACACCTCACCATTGTATAATTAAAGCCTCACACAAGTTATATCATGAATAGGACAAAAGAGCTTTTACTTAGACAACCTCATTATCTCACTTCAAGGATTAAAACATCAGACATAACTCTGGGGAAGGAGGGTGACTATGCAACACTAAGGGCAGCAACTCCCATAAGCAAGAGTTTCTGAAAGCTTCCAAATAACTTCATCATCTTATTGAAAGTCAGCAGGACTCTTGCCTCTGAGTCACACAGGAGCTTCCAGAAAACTAACAAAACCTCTCCCTGAACATATACTTAGGACTCCACAGAGGCAGATACAATTTTAAGAGAAACTTCGTGTGTAGGAAGGAGGCACAAACCATCTTGGACCAGTCTTCACACAATTTTGCTCTGTGTAATACATAAAAAAAGCCATTTGGAATTAGTGAAGGAATGCACTTGCCTATGCCCAGTCCACTAGCTTTAAGCAGACCAGTTTCTACTGATTCAGTCCCCTATCATAGAAGGTAAGATCTGTAACAGGAAAAGCTATTGATAGTTATGTATTATTACAGATTTTTGATGCTGTAATAACAGATTAATTTCTACTTATCACAGCATCGCTATGTGAACATCACATGTCAAGAGAGGGTGAAGGGTGGTGGTGTTGGAGAACCCTTGTATCAAGTCCCCCTTCTCCACGTGAATATTGCCTCAACTATTAGAACCTCTCACATCTTTTCACTCTTTTTGAATCACAAAGTGAAGGAGATAATAAGGGACTCTTTTCTCATGAGTATGCCTCATTAACAGCATGTATTGTTGCCAGTTTTTTCCTAATGTCCAAATAATTAGAGCATATCAAATGTATTAGAAATGCACCTCTCAAAGTTGTCATGTAGGTTAAACACAGTCTGTTTCTTTCATCTGTTCATTAGACAAATTTTATATTGTGAAAAACTGTAAAAGAATAGTATTTGCACATGGATGCTTTGTAACACCCTGGAGACTGACTTCAGGTATCCAGATGATGGATGTCTAAACCAATCCTGTGGCTACTGTCATCTGATGCTTCCCTATTGCAGCCCAAAAGCAAACTGAATCTTGATACACTGAGGTGCACTGAGGCTGCATGCTTTGAAACTCAACCATTCCCATCCAATGGAATCTCCTGTTTCATAGCGTCACAAGATAGTTCATGTTGGAAAGGACCTCAGGAAGTAGAAGACTGTGTCAAAAGCCTTGCTAAAGTTGATGTAAATGACATCTACTGCTCTCCCCTTGTCTGCAAATATTGTCATTTTATTATAGAAGGCAATCATGTTGGTCAGATATGATTTATCCTTGCTAGCTGTTCACAGTCCCCACCTTCTTCCTCAAGTGTCCAGAAATGTTCCCCAAGGACTTGCTCCCCAATTTACCTAGAGACCAAAGTCAGAATGACAGGGCTGTAGTTCTGTGGATTGTCCTTTTAGACTTTTTTGAAGATGGGTGCATTGTCTGTCTTTCTCCACTTGTCAGGGATCTTACCCCATCTCCATGGCCTTGCAACAATACTCTCAGGACTCTTGGTAACACCTATCTGGTCACGTGGACTTGGGCAGGTTCAGATCTCACAATCAATCCCTAAGTCCATCCTCATCCACTGCTGGTTGCTTTCCTCATCCTTGAACAATGTCTCTAAGCACAGAGACATAGGAGACCTTGATGGCAAAAGCTGAGGCACAGTACACACTGTCTTGGCCTTATCTCTCTCTGCTGTCACTAAGTCATCCTCCCCATTCAGCAGCAAGCCCACATTTTCATTGTTCAGCTTTTTACTGTTTGTGTAGTGGTAGAAACTCTTCCTGTTGCCCTTGACTCCCTTGGCAGTCTCAACTCCTGAGCTTTAACGTTCCTGACACCAACAGTAATGCCCAGGCAATGCTTCCAAATTTTCCTTTTGCAGCCTGTCCCTGCTTTCTGCATCCCCTCCTCTTCTGCACTGGAGCTTCACCATGAGTTCCTGGCTTAGCCACACTTATCTCGTGGTGTGTTTTCTTATTTTTCTGAGTAATAGAAGAGACATCTCTTGCACTTGGAGGCTGCTGTACAGTCCTCACAGTTTTCTTGTACCGCTTTATCTTTCAGAGGTTCCTCCAGTGGGATCCCAGCTACTGCTTCCCCCCAAAATGAGAAGTCTGTTCATGTTAAGTCCAAGTTCTACAGTCTGCTGTGCTCATTCCTCACTCCCTTCATGGTCTTGAACTCCACTATTTCTTAATAACTACAGCCTAGGCTGCCAATGATTATCATGTTCCCAACCAGCTCTTCCTTGCTAGTGAAGAGCAGAGTCAGCTATGCACCACCTTTGGTTGGCCTGTCCTGTACTTGTATCAAGAAGTTATTGCTGACATTCTTCAGAAATCCTCTTGACTGCTTGCATTACACTGTGTTGCCTTTTCAGCAGCCATCAGGGAGGTCCAGGTCCCCTGTGGCAACCAGGATCTGTGATACAGAGGCTTCCCTGAGTTGCTTTAAGAAGGCCCCATCCTCATATCCACTGTGTTTGGGTAGTCTATAATGCAGTCCTACCACAGCATCAGCCTCATTGGCCTCTTCACTGAGTCTGACCCATAAGCTCTCATCCATCCCACAGAGGAGCCCCTCACATCCAAGTGGCTCCTTCACATAGAAGGCAACCCATTTGTCTTCACTGTCCATTCCCCCTAAAGAGCTTGTACCGATGCATCAGAGCACTCCGGTAGTGAGAGATGTCCCTCCACATCTCAGTTGTTCCAGCAATGTTATTGTTTAACGACCACATGCAGACTTCCAGTTGCTCCTGCATATTTACCAGACTTCATGCATCTGCTCACTCTGGAGGTGAGCCCTTCTGTCTTGTTTCACCATTCTTGAAGTCTTTTTTGCTCTGGCCACCCAGCACTATTTTCTTTCCACCCTTGTCTAGTGGAAGGTGGCCCTGCCCATGGCAGGGGGATTGAAACTGGATGATCTTTAAGGTCCCTTGCAACCCAAACCATTCTATGATTCTATGATTGCCCACTGTTTCTCCATTTAAATTTGGGCTGTAATCTCCCTTCCACAGTATTCCTAGTTTAAAGGCCTGCTCCAAACTCCTTGCTCCACTCCAAACAGGCAGGGAAAGACTGCTCACCCATTTGGCTTCTGCACCCAAACAGCCCTTGTTCAGGAAGTGCTCAAAGCTGGGCTGTGTGGTTTTGCATGATCTCGAGCTCTGAAAACCTTATCCTTACTCTAACAGGGTAGCACAGCATAATCTCTCCACAGTGATCTTATAGGTGATCCCAAATGGGGTATTTTAGCTGCTGAACTGGATATACCAGGTCATGATCACAGTTCTTCAGTGTGATCTCTTGTTCAGTTGAAAATACTCAGGAATGAGTGTGAGGAAAAGGAGGACAATTGGACAGCTTGTTCAATTTTTGGAGAATAAGCACAGTTAGTGCCAAGTTACAGGAATAAACAAATCTCCTAAAGCATGTGCTTTGAGAAGGGTGCAAGTAATTTGATCTTGAAGTGGAAAGACCCATTGCTGGTCTGCAGAAAAGCCACTGTTGCTGGTCTTCATGCAAGTGGGAGCAGAGATGCTCTGAAAACGTGACCCCATGCACTTTAAAAATCTGCATTATATTCTTAGGATCTGGGTTTTTAGGAACAAACATGCATCCACACCTAACTGGACCTGGATGAACAGTGCCAGCCTTTCTAGTACAAAACCACTAGCGCCTAATATGCTGTACCTCTTATGTTTCTCCACCTTCTGACCTCAGCTTTAACTACTGAACTGTAATAACATGGGAAATTCTCACAGCTACTGTTTGGAATATCTTTGTTGAGGGAGCAAAGGAAGGCTGGTGTAATATGACATCAAGAAAAGAACTAGCTTCTGAGGTCTGGTATATTTGCAGAGAAATGTGGAAATCATATCCTGATTCTTCTTAGTTGAGGCCACTCCCTCTTGACCTCAACTTATATTTACAGTAAATGAAGCACCTCTCAGCCTAAATAATCACAAGGAGGCAGGTGGGGCAAGAGAGGTAGAAAAAACCAAAGTGGTTCCCC